AGTAAGATGACAATAAATCTCAATATGCTTAATTCGTTCATCAAAAACTGAGTTGTGAGCAATCTGAATAGAACTCTGGTTGTCACAATACATAGAAGTAGGATGAGAAAGTGAAACTCTCATATCCACAAGTAATCAACGTAACCAAATAATCTCTTTGGTAGTAGATATCATAGTATGGTATTGTGTTTTGGTTGAGAATTGAGAAATAATGGATTGTTTCTTGCTCTTCCAAAAGATAAGAGAATCACCTAAAAAAATACAGAAACTTGTAACCAATTTATGGTCTGTGGAATCATTATCATGATCAGCATCAGAGCATGCATGCAGCTCCAAGAAAGAGGTGAATGAAAGTAAGAGACTCTAAAAGATTGTATCCTGAAGATATCGTAAAATATAAAGAACAGCTATCTAGTGAATAGTAGTAAGAAAAGCAACAAAGTGACTAAAAACATGAACAGCCTATGCAATATCTAGACAATTAATGGTGAAATGTACCAAGCTCCTAACAATAGTACAATATAAAGAAGAATTTATCAAAGGCAAACCATTAAAAGAAGAATACTTTGCGTTAATTTCAATGAGAGTATCTACGGTCTTGTTATTAGTAAATCTAACCCGTTCAATAATATATGGAACATATTTTGATTGAGAAAAAAAGTGACCTCTAGATGAGTAAGCTACCTCAATACCCAGGAAATATCACAGAGAACCCAAATTTTTCATTTCAAACTGTTTAGCCAGCTCTGTCTTTAAAACTGAGATACCATCAATGTCATCACTAATAATAATCATGCCATCAACATATAAAAAAAAAATGATACAACCTGCATCAGTGCTCTTAATAAAAAAAAGTAGAATCATGACTACTAGAAACAAATCTAAGAGTAGAATCGTGACTACTAGAAACAAATCTAAGAGATCAGATTACAATTGAAATTTCTCAAAGCAAGCATAAGGTGCTTGTTTGAGACCATATAACACTTTCTTGAACTTACAGACATATCTAGAGTCATGTGAAACACTAAGAGAAGGTGTCATATAAACTTCTTCTTGAAGATCTCCATTCAAGAAGGTATTTTTAATATCAAGTTATACAAATTAAAGCTACGACAATAAGAGTGTCGATAATAGTTATTTTTGCAATAGGGGCAAATGTCTCCTCATAGTCCATACTTAATAGTACCTTTTTTGCAACCAATCTAGCTTTATATTGCTCAATAGACCCATCAGAGTTAGTCCTGATCTCAACACCCAACGACAACCAATTACACTCTTATTAAGAGGTAGAGGAACCAAGTCCTAAATATTTGTCTTATGTAAAGCAAAAGGTTTCTTATTCATAGCTTCTGCTAAAGAGGATCAAGAATTGTCTCTTTGTAAGAAGAAGGCTTAGAGAGACAATGAATAAAAGTTAAAAAGGAAGTAAATGATAAAGAATAACAAGAATAAGCAAAATCTGGTATTTGTGTGGACTTACAAATGCATATAGATTGACGTAAAGGTGGATTGATAATCTTAGACAAAACTTGGAAGGTTATAAATGAGAATAGAGCTTCTAGAGTGTCAGAGAGTAAAGTGTCAATATCTGCAGGATAATGAGTACAGATTGATCGAACATAGAAAAAGGTATCTAAAGTACTAAGAACCTGTGATCATATATTATCATAATCCTTAAAAAATAGATTTATACGAATAATATCAGGTCTAGTCAGGTTATAGGTAGTGAATATGATAGAAAAGAAAGGTAAATACTCAAGAAAAACAACATGACAAGACATATAAAGTTTATGAGTTATTGAATCAAAACAACAATATTGCTTTTTACCTTCAACAGAACCTAGAAATACACAAATAGTAGAATAAGAGGGTAACGTATTGTGTTCTGTATAAGGATGAAGAACAAAACAAGTATAACCAAAACTCTAAATGAGAAATAATCAAAGTCATGCCCATATAGCTTTTCAAAAAAAGACAAATCTAAACTATAAGAAGATGAGATTGTATTAATCAAACTTACAGCTGTGAGGACAACTTATTCCTAAAACTTACTAAGAACAGAAGCAAAGCAGTTTCAACAATGTGCTTATGTTTTTTCAGTAATACAATTTTGCTCAGAAGTATTTGTATATGAAGTTTGGTGAATAGTTTCATCTAAGGCAAGCAACTAATAAAATTTATTAGAAGTATATTCCCCACCCAAATCACATATAAAGCATTTGATTAAAACAAAATGTTGAGTTTTCACAAGAGCTTAAAAGACTGTATATATCTCATAGAATTCAAAACTTTTTTTCATTAAAAAACCAACAATAACGAGCATGATCATTAATAAATAAAACAAAATCAAGACCCTCTTTTTATGGCAATAGGAGAAGGTCCCTATATATCAGAATGAATCAAATCAAAAGGTGAAGAAAAAATAGAAATACTTCGATTGAAAAGTGAAGCGAAAATTTTTATCAATTTACATCCACTACAATTAGAAATATAACAAGTTTTTAAATTTTCTAAAGCTTATGTGGATGCCAAAACTCTTAAATAAGAAGATGAAACACAACCTAGATGAGAATGTTATAAATAAAAACTAAAAGATGAATGACTCAAACGAAAGGAAGATAAATCAATAATAATAGTAACGACAGCGGCGACGACAATTGGTGCTTTTAACTCATCCAAAATATATAGTTTATTCTCCTTACGGCCTGTCATAATCAACTTTTGAGGCTACAAATCATGTACACGACAAAAAAAAAAACATGACTAAATAATCAGTAAAATCACAACAAAAAAAAAAAAAAGAAAACATGACTAAATAATCAGTAAAATCACATATTTAACCAACAAAAGCAAGATTTAATTTGAGATTCGAAATAAGATAAACATTAGGGAGAGACAAGTAAGGTGTGGCAACAAAACCAGCACTTGCTGAATGCATGAGAGTGCTATTAGCGGTCATAACAGGAATGAAGGATGAAGATGAGACGGGTAAAAGATGAAGAATCTAGAGACATATGCACGGGTAAAAGATGAAGAATCTAGAGACATATGATGGAAAGTTCCAAAATCTAATACTTATTTAGAATGTGACAGAAAGTTTCAAAATCTAATACTTATTTAGAATGTGACATATTTGAAGAGTTATGAGGCAACTGATCTATGGAAGAAGAAGCAGACATTGCTTGTGGTTGTAAGGAGAAAAACTTCTGAAACTGCTCAGCCAGAGTACTAGAATCGATGATAGAGCTTGATGAAGTTACTGCTGCAATATTATGGTATGGTGGTTTATAACTCTAAGGTGGTCTATGAGCATTAGATTGTGATTAACTATCATACTTTCAAACTTGATTATGTTGTCTCAATTTGGGACACTAAGCCTTCTAATGACCTTTCTACTTACAGAAACTACACTCATCAAAGTCAACTCTTGTGTAAGGCTTATTTTAATGATTAGAAGATGGCTTAGAAGATATTACTATTATAGAAAGATTCGAAGCAGAAAGAATTTCCTTTTTAGAATAAGACTGAAGATATATTTCTTCATCCAGTAACTCACTAGCAATAAAGTTAACAGAAGACAATGGAGAATGATGCAAAATTGAACATCTAAATCCTTCAAAATCATTGGTAATTCACTAGCAATAAAGTCAACAGAAGACAATGGAGAATGATGCACAGTAACTCACTAGCAATAAAGTTAACAGAAGACAATGGAGAATGATGCAAAATTGAACATCTAAATCCTTCAAAATCATTGCGAAGTATTAAAAACTATATCAATCATTGTTGCTCTCTACGCTTAATATAAACACTACATGCCTTTAATTTTGCTGATTCTATAGAAGCCAATTAATCCTAAAGATTATTCATAGTAGAATAAAACTCTTGAATACTCATATTCTTCTGATAAAGAGCTTACATGTCATTCTCTAATTGATATTTTGTTTTATAAAATTTGATTGGTGAATAACCTTTGTAGATGATCCCAAACCTTCTTTGTTGTCTCATACTTTGTCAACTGTGTACCTATGGAATGCTCAACAGAATTGTTGATCTAAGTAATTAATTATCTTCGCATTGTTTGTTTTCATGTATCTATCAAAACAGCATCTCTCTCCTCAATATTCTGAGATATCATATAAGTTTCACTAACATACCCCCACATCTTTTTTCCCTTAAGGAAATTTGTCATTACATAACTCCAATACGAATAATTTTTTTGTCCAACCTCACACTCACATATTGAAATGAATCATCTCTTTCGGTAGCCATAATTAACAAACAAAAAGAACTAAAATGCAAAAGTAGTGAAATATAAAGTATCAGATTGCACAAACTGAATAGATATCACAAATACTCAACAAATAACTTCTTGAAATTATACGATTACTCCAAAACACAATACAAATTGTAGAAACTAAACATAAGTATTAAATTGCAGAAGATGAAATACCAAAACAATTACAACAGAATAAAAATATCAAATTGCAGAAGCTGAATGAAAGATAAAATATCATATTTTACAGAGATAGAAGACAAAATATTACTCCAAAAATACCAAAAATTAGATATGCAAAAGCGATTGGCATTAGGTTTTATTCTATAAAACTAGCTCTACTTTTATGTTAAAGCAATTCAATTAACACAAAAATAAATATGAAAATAAAAAAAAAAAGGCAAGAATTCTTTTTAATTGATTTATCTTAAAGTTTTTACTTTTAACTTAAATACAAATAATTTATATATAAATTAAATTAAAAATATTATTTTACCCTTAATAAATAAAACAACATAAATAATCAGCGTTCACTCATCAACAAATTATCCTACTTTTCTTGGAGCCTAAATGGTGATGAGTCGGAAGTGAACAGCTTCAGGTGACAGAGGGGGAGATGTTCTGGAAAAACCATGTATACTTTTGAAAGGTGGAATTAAGTATCTAACAATCTGCTTAATGAAAGGTTATCGATATGGGCTATTAAGATGGCTATTTCCCACAAACACGGGTAAAAAGATGAAGTTGCCATAAATTAATTAGCTAAATCATAAAATTAAATCCACGATTTCAACACTGAATTTGAAAGGCATGGAAGATGTTTAGGTACTCTACTTCCCAAGTTCATATCCGAATTTGGGTTATGGGAGTTTAGGTCAGTAGCCCTTTAACATTTCAATGTGTTTTTCAATGAGCTCGTGGGCTTGCACCGGAGCTTCTGTTTGATCAAGCAGAAGTCACAGGGGACCATATTTTGGGCTTTCCGTTTTTTCCTTTTCTCCTCAACCAATCCTCTTCAGCATTGAAATGGTTCAGACCCAGCTCATGTGATCATCTAGCTCTATGCTAACAACAGCAGAATCTGCTCTCAGGCATTCGTCGCTGGAAAAATGGTCCGCAAACGTCTGCAAGAAGCCAAAACAGGTAAAACTGACAGACAAAGAAATCTTGCTATTATAAGCTATAAAAGCAGGGGGGGAAATTGGTGGTTTAGCTATTCTTGTTTTAAACCGGATTGTCCTCCAACTGTTCGACGAAACGGTTAAACATGTTTCCTTTAATTTTTTTCAATTTCAGGCATTGAGTATCTGAAATCAGTGGATTTCGACATGTACCTGAGGAAAGTAGGATTAGGAAAAGAAGATCGCTACTTCTGGAAGCAAGTAGGCAAGTCGCTCCTCTGCACGTACGCTATCATCGGCGTTGTGTGGGTTTACAACGAAACATCACCACTCGGTTGGTGGACACTAAAACCGAGACCAAAGGAGGAGAGAGACCTTGCCCATTTGTATGAGAGGCGAGAATTCCCTATCCAGGCGATGCAGTAGCAATGGAAGAGTTTGTTGCAAGGGGAGGAATGATTGGCACGCCAATTGGGCCGAAAGGGACTGTGGAGAATGATAAAGATTCTTATAATTATCAGAAACAGTTGCAGCATAAGAAGTTTGATCAAGAAGCACAGAAACTGTGGTTTAGGATGAGGAATGAGGTTGTTCAGGAGGAGCTTCAAGAGAATGGGTATGGTGTTGAGTGAATGAGGCGTTTGATTTTTATGTCATTTCAATGCTTTAACGTGTTTGATGATTGTGAATGGAGAACATGACAATCTGTGTTATAGCATGCTTGTTGCTATGATGATTAAGGTTTGAAAGGTAGCTGCATGCTGGTATGTGTAATGCAATTCATTATACAACATGCATTGAAAATGGATGATGATTAAAGGTGGTGTTTATTTCTGCTAGTCTGTCAAATTATAAATTTACCTCTTACTTATTCTTAAGCAAAGTCTCCGATAGGGCTTAATTGATCCATCATTTAGTTCCATCTTCTACATGCATGGCTCGATGAGCATGTGTAACTCTATATCTATCCTTTTCAGGGATTAGCGAAAAATTGAAATACAGAACACAGGGTTAGCGAGATTTGAAATCCAGAATCAAAATCAAAATATGATTTCGGTAAGATTTGAGGGGATTGGGATTCTGCAGCACAATTGTCTGAGAAAAGATCGACAGGAAACTGCTGGGGAGTTTATCACGTCAACTTCCCACAATCTGAAAGTCTATGCCTTGCTGATAGCGGTTAATTTTCACTTTCACTGTCTGTCACTCTGCAATTAAACAAGTCTTTGATTGAACTATAATATAAAGATTTCCTTGTGCCAACGTTGTAAAAGTTACTCATCTCCGAGTCACCTTTGAAAGATTATGCTCACTGTGCGAGATCAAGTCGAAATCTTAGCATATCTATTCAAGGATGTTCCAAAATTCAAATATTAACTTTCACTGTTTATCAATTATAGTTTGGGGCAATCTTTAACCTTTTAAAAGATTGAGACGGGGGACAACTTGTGCAAGAAATTGCTTAATCACTACTAAGCTAATGATGGAAGTGAATGCATCGAATTATTTGGATAGATAGCGAGACGGGAAATAGTAGGTACTGGTGAGAGGCAGGCATTTGATACAAGCCCAAGCATTGCTTGGCAGAAAATGGGGAATCCTATGAGAAACTCCAACGGGATCCCACCAATCAAGTCTGTCCAGCGAACATAATAATTCATCAGCAGCAATTATTGGAAGCCTGTAACAAGGCGCCGAACAGCAAAAGTTTGCTGTTCAGCCGCTGTGATATAAGGTAGGTAGAGGGGAGGATTTAACCAAATCAGCACTTCTGATCTTACAGTAAACTGCACCAGTTTGGTTTGAAGTTACTGCACGTACGACGCAGCAGCACAAGTCATCTCATACAGTTTTCAAGGACGTTGAAACACTTCAATTACCGGTCCAGCAGACCAGATAAATGTCGGAAAAGCGTGCAAAAAGAGTTCTAGAATATCTGAAATATTACATGACAAGGTCGTCTTGAATAGGAAACCATCGACAGCATGCTCTACTATTAGTTATTTTCTGAAATTAATTTATTTCAAAAAAAATAAACAAATACGAGAAAATAAAATTTAGAATGCTTCAAAAATAATAAAACACCCTCACCAAGATAAAATAACTATTAGTATTAAACCTCAAGTCTTATTTTTTTTTTTTAAATACGCGCAATAGGATATAATGTATGTTTGGAATAAAGATGTAATGAGACTGTTTGGAATAGGGGAGTAGTGAAATATGGTTGGGTTTTTTAAAAAATATAACCCCTTTAAAAGCATAAATTACAACTCATTAAAAGCAAAAATTATATTTTTTTATTGTTTTTTTTAATTCCATTAAAAAAACTCAACCACACCTCCTTTATCTGAATCACACCCATAATAAAGCTGTCTATATTTTGGCCGCATTTGCTGGGAAACAAGGTAATTTTGGACCGATTAAATGCCCGAGCATCTTCTCCTACTGCCAAGAGGCAAAAAAGCTAGATCTATTTCAGGCAGATTGCAGGGCAGCTATACACGTGAAGAACACAAGGTCAGGAGCTAGGCATCTAGGCACCAGAAACCTTCTTTAGGTGCATCACCGCAATAAACGTATTGCCCTTAAATAGAGAAAAACGTTAAAAATGCACCCTTGCCCTAGCTATTTGTAAGTAGAGCTTTGACAGGGATTTCATTGCCGAGGTCTGATCCGGCTAGAGGAAGGCCATAGAATCATTAATGCAGACAACCCCTGGTTATTTCTCTGAATTTATCAAATCTCAACTAACAATCAGGGACTACATGGTCTAAGAATCCGAAATATGTAAAGGTGGATTCTTTCCTCTGATTATTATACCACTAGCGAAGCTGGTGGTCGATCAATTTAGTCCACGCCTTGTGCCAAATGTGTTAATTTGCTAGCATCCCTCTCTGCAACAATGCTTCATTCCATCCAAGAGTGTCCCCAAATCTTTCTAGATGCAGATACATTCCCCAAAACTACATCACAAGCGACGGCATTCCCAAGGCTCAAAGCCTACTGTCATATTGAGGGAGTGATCGGTGAAAAGTTCCATGGACACTTCAATTCCACACGAACATGTAATAAAAAGAAACAAGTGCATCATTTCTTGAACATGAACTAAACGGAAACAAGGATTTTTCTGATTATCATTGCTGCGTTATTGGAAAAACATTTTCAGCAGAAAACAGGTAACGAATATGATGTGCTTTTTTATCTATTGAACAGGGAGAAACACATTAACTCATGTCTTTACAACGGCACATTTCTTTGAAGAGCAATTGAAGTGCATCTTTACAAAACATTCCTTGACATGGAGTTTGAGTTCTTTAGTCCACTCTTTCCAGATTTGCTTCTTCCATAACTCCTCAATGGTGCCAGGTAGAACCGTAGCAGGCCATTATCAAGGTTGCTTGGAGAATACCTGGCACTCCGGTTCCGCTTCAGCAAATGATTTTCCCTTCTCTTCATGTCATTCTCTTTGCTCTCAGCACCACTTGAACTGCAGGCCATCTGGCAGGAATCCCTTGCACTCACGGTATAGCTCCGTATAAGCTTCGGGGTCACAATCCCGTTTGCTTCTCCATCAGCCAAGCCACTTAAATTCTGCCAAGACTCCGGCATTGGCCCCTCGACCACATTTCCACTAAAACTACTCTCCTCATCTCCACATTTGCTCTGACTACTCCTCTGCATCAAACCCCAAATATTCCACACACCATACCACCTCTGCGGCTTCTTGAAACCTTTTTTACTAACCCCACCACCAGTAATTGAAGTAGCGTCTTTGGAAACAGCATCCACATTCTGCTCGCCATAATCTTTAAGCGAATACCAATTTGAATCCCTCAATTCTTTCTCTGTGACCATCAACTTTGCCCCATGGAATAACCCAACTGTTTCAGGAGATACCTTGGCATTCAACATCGATTTAAACTCTTCATCCCCTAGCCCCACTCTCCGATTAGAGCTCGAACGATCAAAACTCTTCCTCCTCCTATCTGAATAATAATTCCTAGTTTGCATCGTTCCTCCAGGACTGCTCTCGCCTTCATTCTTCAAATCCATGTTCTCTTTTACATTCTCAACCACATCACTAGGCAACTTGACATCCTCCAAAACCGAAACCAATGGAGTTAGCCTCGGATAGGTTTTACCAATCAAATACCCATCCCAAGAAGCCCTGGGCTCATCAAGCGAATAGCGCGAATCATCAACAGAAAACCGTGCCACATCCACTGATAATCTAGGATCGGTATCACAAGATCTCCTTCCAAGTCCATACTCTCCAATCTCGGATTGCGTCTCTCTCAATTTCCTAACACTCGACATCTCATTTCTCACCAAGCCACCAAGATTTTCCCTATCTTTCTTCTCCTCCTTCTTTTGTTTTCGCTGCCATTTCCCTAATTTCTTACTAAACACTGAAGCTACCTCCCAAAAACTCCCTGCAATGTACTTCAGATCTCTCCCTCCATTTTTCTTTCTTTCCCATTCAAGATCTATAAACTCCTTCATTGTCTTTAGCTCTCCATCCTCTTCAAAATCCTCCACATTCCTTTCACTATCATTCGCATCCAGCGCAAGAACCCTAATCTCTCCGAAATCTTCCTCTTCTTTTAATTCAAGCCCTTTATCCAGACAGCTTGGCTTTTGAGCCGAGGAATTTATTCTTTTATCATCGACGTGGAAGAGCTCAGATAGAGTGTTGCGAATCGGTCCAACGTCGCATGATTTGCGGCGGGGCTCAGAGGTGGTGGCAGTGGTTGAGGAGGTAGAGGTGGAGGAGGCATTGTTATTGTTGGGGTTGTTTTTTGTCGTGCTGGTGTATGATTTGCTGCGACGAAGCTCGGCGGCGAGATGAGTCACGGGGGTTTCTTGGTGGGTGTCAGGGTCGATTCCAGCGAGGCGTTCTCGGAGACAGGAAGCGCAGAATCCGGTGATGGATTTTGAAGGGTGGCGGTTGCAGGATGAGTGGCGGTGCTTTTGAAGCTGAGGTTGCGGTGGCTGAGTCATGGCTGGTGGTGTGGATTGGAAGCTAAGCTCATGTTGTGAGAGAAAGAGAGAGAGAGGATGGAATAAGCAAGAGCGTGGGGGGGCGAGTAGTGAGTAGCTGATAAAGCGGAAATGAAAGAGAAAACCCCTGGATAAACCCCTTCCTAAATGTGGGATTTTTAATTAATGGAAACTTCCTCCTTTTTACCTTTCTATTTCTGTCCTTTTCTCATGTTTCTAGAATATTTTTTAATTAAAAATATATTAAAATATTAAATTTTATTTTTATATCGCGCACAAAAATCATTTTAAAATATTTAAAATTATTAAATTAGTATTTTTAAAATAAAAAATATTTCAAAACACAAGATTATAACTTAAAAACAAACAATCAAGAAGATAGAAATTTTGTTATATAGGCTATGTGCTGTAAATGTGGTTGATATTGTATTCTCTTAAATTTTTTAAAAAATATTTTTTTATATTTTTAGATTTTTTAATATAATAATTTTAAAAAATTAAAAAATTATTTTATTATATTTAAAAAAATATTTTAAACCACAAATACCACTTTACTCTAAATACATATAATTTGCTCTAAATACATTTGCAATTGATGTTGGGCAATGGCCATGATTTAAAGAGAGAAAAATAAAACACGGAATTTATTTTTATATATTTCAATAATAAAAATATATATTACCATATCAAAATTAATAACTGTTTTTCTAATACCAAAATTAAATCATCATTTCAATAGGAACAAAAGTTAATGATTGGTATTGATAATAAATAGATTCATAAGAGTTTAAATTATCATAGGATGTCATAAAATTTAAATATTAATGGTTAACTAGTGAAAATACTCACAAATCCATCATACGATATCATATGAGTT